CTTTCGATTTTTCAATTTCTCTTATTGGCTCTGCAATTCTTTCTTAAGCTGTTATTTTATTTTTTATTATGGATAAAGGACTGGCACACAGCCATGTAACTGGTTTGGGTGTGGATAGATCTATGAATATCACAGACGAAGCTGGGCTCTTCAGCATGGAGAAGGCTAGAAAAGCAGCCAGCCTATTTACCGATGTAATAAACAGCAAAAAGACCGCAGGAAAGGCGCTTCTTATCACAGGAGAGAGCGGCAGCGGGAAGACAGCTCTTGCAGTGGGCATTTCCAAGGAGCTGGGCCCTCGTGTTCCCTTTGTGAGGATGACGGGAAGCGAAGTGTACTCAGCTGCGGTGCGAAAGACAGAAATACTGCAGCAGGCAATCAGGCGGGCAACCATCATAAGAATCAGAGAGATAAAACACGTGTACGAAGGAGAGGTAGTAGACATAAAAATAGAGGAAAAAGAAGATCCTCTGAACAACTACAGAAAAACAGTCTCAAACATATTTGTTTCTCTGAGGAGCGCCAAAAGAACAGAGAGACTTACTTTGAATCCATCGCTCTCGCAGGAGATAATAAAGCAAAAGATAACAGTTGGCGATGTAATATACATAGAGCCTGAAGAGAACATAATAAAAAAGATGGGAAGGAGTGACTCGTACTCATCCGAGTTTGACATTGAAAGCGACAAATACGTGTCCCTTCCCAAAGGGGATATTTTTACAAAGAAAGAAGTGCTGCAGGAAATGACTCTTCACGAGATAGATGTAGCAAACACCAAGCACAAAGGGAAAGACGTCTTCTCGGTCATGAGCCAGCTGCAGGAGACAGGCCGTGTAGAAATAACCAGCAAAATAAGAGACGAAGTGGACAGCAAAATAAACAAGCAGCTGAGCATAGGCGCAGCAGAGATCACGCCTGGTGTTCTGTTCATCGATGAGTCCCACACGATGGACACGGACTGCTACTCATTTCTCAGCACGATGCTGGAGCTGTCAACTTGTCCTGTGATAATACTTGCCACGAATAAATCCTCTGTAAAAGTTCCAGAGACAGGAGAAGTGAGAAGATTTGGAATCCCCGAAGTTTTCCTCAGCCGCATGTTTGTCGTGCGCACTGAAAAGCCTACAAAAGAAGTAGTGCAAAAGATCATCGATCAGAAGATAGTTTCCGAAAAGATAGATATAACTGAAGATGGAAGAGCTCTGCTCTATAAAATAGCCAATGAAAGCACTCTGCGTTTTGCATTCAGTCTGCTTCCCCTGGCTGCTCTTCTCTCTGATGTTATTTCATCTTCTGCCATCAAAGAAGTCTCTCAGATGTTCAGCAAGCCAAAAATGAAATAAAAATATTTACATCTGCTAGCCCTTCACTCCCCTTCAATAATTTTTATACTTCACCCTGCCTCATTTTTACTCTGCTCCCATTGCAGATGCTAAAATAGGATAAATTTTACTGAAATATCGGCACCATACTTCCATTTTTGCCCCACTTTTGCTTTTTTATGCGTTTAATTTTTTTACACTTTTTATGCTTTGCTGCTTATGTGGAACTGACAGTATGTTTGACTCTCCTATGTGCTTCAACTGTAGCGTACGAGAGCTCCCAAAGCTGAAACTAGAAACAAGTAGACAGGTGGACAGATGTAGCACTTGTATGCGGTACAGTGTGCCTCCCTCTGGGTGGACCACGCTGAGATTCGAAGGACCCGAGATGCTGGCGTATCTCCTCAAGAAAATCCCCGAATTGGCCAAATTAAAGCTCGTTGATGCATATTTTATCCACTCAGAGGAGCACTCGAAAAGAGTGCGAATGAAAGTGAGCATAGACAGATCGAGCGAGCTGGGAATGTTTGGCATAGAGCACTCAGAAGAGCTTGACGTAACATGGGTCATAAAGGGGAAGCACTGCCTAGACTGCGCCAGAGCAGCATCCAACCAAACGTGGAGCTGCGTTGTGCAGCTGCGCCAGAAGTCGCAGTCCAAGCAGACTCTTCTTCTCCTGGAGCAAGCAATCCTCAAGGCAGGACTGCACGATGAGACCACAGACATAAAGGGAGAGCAGGACGGCATTGACTTCTTCTACAACTCTCGCACTGCGTTGCTTAAGCTCGTTAGATTCATAGAAGAGTACGCCCCCACAAAGGTGAAGATATCTGAGCAGCTGGTTACCTTGGATAAAAAATCAAGCAACAGCAGATACAAATTTGCATACTCGGTGGAGATACCTGCGCTAAATGTCAATGATTTACTGCACATACCCCCTGTTTTAGCTAAGAAACTCTCACTTACGCAGATGTGCATTGTCATCCGCATATCGAAGTCCATCCTGCTTGCAGACACAAAGGGCCAGGTTAAGGATCTGGGGAAGGTGGACTATTTCAGATTTGCAAAGGAGATAAGAGTGCTGGGATCGGCTAAAACGCAGACAGTCTTTGAGGTGGTGGAGGTGGAAGGGCAGTACAGCAAGAGCAACGGTGAGGGAGCTGTGGGCACACACTTGAACTTTGGTAGAAATAGAATATACGATGTTCTTCTGCTCAGAGAGGACGGGGAGATGGTTAGCACTAAGACTCTGGTCAAGGGCCTGGAGACGGGAAGCAGAGTGATAGGATACGATCTTATAAACCTAAACACCAGCTTGGAAATAGAGTCACCGATTTTCCTGATAAAGAAAGAGGCAGAGGCAAACCTGAAGTGGAAGATCAAGAGAATAGGAGGAGGATACCAGTCAGAAGATAAGTCTGCAATGATCATAGACGCGGTGCGAAACGATCCATCTCTTCTGAAGCTAGTGAATATATACGATGAAAATGACCAGATCATCAAGGGAATAGCATCGCTGAACCTATAGTCTTGGCTGAGATGACTGAACTAATTATTAAAATAGATACTTATTAAACCACATATTACTTATGCCTTCTTTATTTTTGTGCTATTTTCACTTTTATTCTCTGATTGTGTATGTGTTTAGAAAATTGCAAATATTTTTATGTCTACACTATTTTATTTGAGCATTTGGATGGTATTTATGTGTCAACTAAATGTGAAACAAACACTTTACTTTTTGGCTGGAGAATACCAGGCAATGAGAGAAGAATCTAGTATGAATAGGGGGTAGATGGTGATTTTTCTGTTGTTTTTATTTACTTACAACTGTTTGTGTTGTTGTATTTGTGCTATTTCACAGATATATTTCTATCATTCTGCCAATTTTATTTCTGCTACTCGTCTGATTAAAGACAAACAGAAACCATTAGAGAATGGGCATCTCCTTGATTCACATTGATAAATCATCATCCAGCACTAAAGATGCTTTATATTGGCAAATAGAAGAGATCTAGTATTCGGAGTATCTCTCTTCTTCTCTCATTGGTTTGTTTTTATTTATTTTTATTTCTATTTGCTGAGATGATTATATTTCTATTTGTTGTTTGGAAGATTATTATTTGTTATTTCAAAAACAAAGTTATAAATATTGAACTTAATTATCCATTTTTTTAATGCACAAGTTCTTCAACAGTATGATAAATGGAGGAGCAGGCAACTCTGCTATTATTTCAGACTTTGTGTCGCGCAAGGGAATTGCAAGAGATGACGACATAAAGTTCAGTGAAGTCACTATCTCTGGGAAAATTAAAGACTTTTTGTCCGTAATTTGCGGATTTGAGATGGCGGTGTTTGGGATCAAGTACCCTTATTTCAACGGCGCACTGGTGGCAATTATCTACTGCTACCACAGTTTGCTCAGAATGGTGGCACATATTGCCTCTTTTTTGAGTGGTCTTTCGAACAGCACAGCAAATCAATTAGGCGCTGAGCTGATGACCAATGGCTTTTACATATACGGCACTGTATTTATATTGGGCATAATAACTGCCTGTATTGCCTTGTCTCTGTTTAGGTTTTTCATGCGGGCTTTCGTGCTTATCACCACGGTCTTTATGTTCGTCGAGGGGCCGGGGCGCAGTCTTTTCATAGATCTGGGGATACAAGGGATCATTCCTCCGCTTCTTTTGGGCACAATATGCGGTCTCATTTTGATGGTTTATCTGGAAAAGGTGGTGCGCAAGGGCCTTCTTATTCTCATCTTTGCTGTTGTTGGGTCTGCGATGCTCTTCCTCGGAATTGGAGAAGTTTTCAATCTGAACAGCTCCATTGCCAAGTCAGTGATTACGCTGACTCCTGTTAGCGGAGAGATCTCCGAGATTATCAAAGAATACGCTTTGTTCTGGTGTACTGTTGCTGTTTCCATCCTAATCCAGATCTTTACAAGAAAATAAATATACCACACTCTACCTTTCATATATTTACAGTTTATTTTTAGCCCATCTGAACAGCTAAATGAAAAGAATCAATGGTCTAATTGGCCAGTAGATAAGCGTTAAAGAGAAGAGGATAGTTGCCATCTTTCAGAGTATTTCTGGGACTATACTCTCATATGCATACGCTACTGTAGCGATGTACTTGCTAAAAATTTTAACTTTCAAATGGAATGTACATGTAGCAATAATCCATGAAGTAGACTGCTAGTATGAGCACAGCACCAAGAATCAGCGCTAATGAATAGACCAACAAAAACAGTTTTGCACGGTCAAATCAGCACTGGATCTGTCATTTAGTAATAAGTTTCTTTAATAAATGCTAGTGGGTAATTGGGCTTTTATATGAGTAAGTGATAGGTTGCTCATTTAGCTGACTGATTGGGCGTTTTAGCTTATAATTATGCTAAACATTAAATGATTTGTATAATGAGCAGTGGCTTAAATGCGCCTATTACGGGATAAAAGTATAAATAGATGGAGATTTGTTTTAATTATGTTAAGTAAGATTATCAAATCAAAAATTGCATTAGCATTAGTTCTGTTTACACTTACAAGAGCAGAAATCAATGATGATCAAGTGTCTACTACTGTTGGGCTACACTTAAACGACAAAGTGAATGAGATTGATGTACCAACACTGCTAGCCACCCAGAAAAAAGAGCAAGAAAAGGCAGAAAATCTCGCAAATGATCTTGCACAGAAGCAAGACGGCAAGTCTGGAAAAAAAAGAAAAAACCGGCAATCTAGAAAAGAGCCAAGAATAAAAAGCGAAAAATCTGCAAATAATGAAGTAATTTCTCCTTTTATTGGTGATTATCCAGAATATGAAGAGGAAATTAATTACAACAAGGGTCTCACTGGAGTAAAAACAAGATATGAAGGTAATGGAGGAAACGGAGCACTAGATACTATTCGAGAAGAAGATGAAGAAGAGCACACACCAGTAACTAGTAAACCAACCATGAGCCATGAAGAAATAGATAAAGCGATGGCAGAAGAAAGAGAAGCAGAAATAGCCGGGTGGAATGCAATAGAAAACAGAGAACCACAGTCTAATGCAGAGAAAAGCCACACACCAGTAACCAGTAAACCAACTATGATTCATGAAGAAATAGATAAAGCGATGGCAGAAGAAAGAGAAGCAGAAATAGCTGGATGGAATGCAATAGAAAATCAAGCAGCAGGAGGGCCTATTACAGCTACTCCAGACGGCTTAGAAGGACCTACTCAAAGCTTTGCAGATGCAATGCATGAGCAAAGTACTGGTGCACACAAAGAACAGAATAATAATGATTTATTCGAAG